TTGCTGCAGCCTTTGGGAGCCGTTTTCCCTTTAAGATGGATTAAACTTTTCATTACATTTCAATTCCTTTCTGCAATCCTTGTTACTTCCTCAAGAGGCGGGGTTAGAGGAGGGAAAAAAAAAACCCCAAAAAACCTCCAAAGCCTCTTTTCCACCATTTTTTTTTTTTTAAATTTTGGAAGGATGAAAAGGCTTGGAATTAGATTTTCCAAGCCCATGGCCCTTGCAGCTCGCAAGCTGAGCAAGCGCTGTTCAAGGGCTGTTCAAGGACATTTCTGGGTCCCCCCTCCTTTTCCAGGGGCTTAGCTAATTTGCTAGAGGCCACAGAAGTACAGCACGTGGCTGGCCCTGCTTTCTGGCACTTTTGTACCTCCAAATCCATAGTGAGGCACAGTTGGATCCAGCTTCTCCAACACAGTTTGTGAAGCCCAGGGCAGCTGCAGAGGTGCTGGAGCTGCCTGTTGGCAGGTGGAAACAGGCAGCACTGAGCTGATGATGTACAGCAGCACATCCTGCAAAACACGTCGGCAGCTCCAAGGACTGAACGGTAGATGTGAAATCTCGAACAATGCAGGAAATGATCGTCCTTTCCTGAAGCTTTGTCTCCTCGCCTGGCTGCTGGCTGCCAACATCTCCCTCCAATAGAGCCTAGAGCTGCTGTGTTCATCTCCTGCCAGTGGGAGATGGGACCATGCTGAAGTGAGAGGGAGATGGTTCGCTCCACTCCAGAAGACTGAATCACATCTTCATTGTGAGCTCAAAAGTCTCTGTTGTTGTAAAAGACACTTCATGGAGTGCAAATATTTGCTCTGCCATCTCAACAGCGAAGGGATTAGGCTGGCCTACACTTTGGACAATGCAGGAGATGAGCCAAAGGCACTGGACAGAGAGGAAAAGCCAGCTGCAGTAAGTGTAGATACTTGCAAGCAGTGTTTTCGTAGCTGTTTCTTCTGTCCTGACTGTCATGTCCCCACTCAGCTTCTGGCTCTTGATCTGAGCAGTTACCTTGACAGGAAGCCCTATATTTTATGGAGAGTTGCTGTGGCTAGATGGGTTCTTAAAATATTGCTTTGTAGCTCCCAGCAGAAGGAGCAAAGGAGGACTCTGCCGAAGAGTGAGTTGCCCCAGAGATATTTATCTGTCTTTGGAACCCTGAAATACCTTTAAAGTTCCTGCTGTCCTGGCTGGATCTCTCTGGTGGCAATTCCAGTCTGAAATGTCCTGCCCTGTTTATCCTGCACATGGAGAACAGAAGATCTCCTTCCTTTCCATTCCTGGAGACTAACTGCATGTTTTAGAGATACCCCCATCAGCCTGTGCTCTGTGTCCTCAAGAGGACAGCTGCCCAGGCTATTTTGGCCATGGATCCCTCTCCGTCACTGGAGAGGTGGCCGTGACTGTGCTGACTGAGAGCTGGCTTGATCCAGAAACTGGCACATGCAGAGTTTTTCTTCCTGCCCAGGATCACTGCTAAAAGCATTGCTCCTCATCTCCTTTGTTTCTGTCTCTTCTCTGCCTTTCTGCCTCCTCCTCATGGCTTAGCTGCAGTTTTCCTGCTGCTCCTATTGCTCTCTGAGGTTAGTTTATAGTCCTGGTGAAAAATGGCAGCAGGGCTTTCTGACAGCTTCTGAGCTTGCCACCTGTGGATGGCCAAAGCTGTTCCCCATCTGGCATTGTTAGCCTGGTGGGCCTAGTGCTTGGTACTTGGAAGGAGGAATCCACCACTGTGGCTCTTAGGAGAACTTGGAGCTCTCATCCTAACCTCCAGCATGTCCCATCTGAAGAATATTATGTGCCCCAGACACACTGTCCTTGTGCAAACCACCGGGCATAGAGCCAGGCCTGGTCCAGAGAGCACCAGCAAGAAGCCAGAGACTCTCAACTTGGCTTCTTTGCTGATGTGGATATGATCTCCAGAGTGGGTGCACCTGCGGGGCACAGGTTGGGGAGGGATGTGCATCACTCAGGGCTGGCAATGAAGGGTTAGGGGGGCAGAAACATGAGGAGAAGAGGCAGCCTACAGCATGGGCCTGCTGTGGAATCACCCCCATCCTGACTAGGCAGCAGGCACCCTTTGGAGCCGACTAGTCGTGCTCCCTGCTGCTCAGCTCCCAGGGATCCACACACCGCAACCTCCCACGTAACCGCAGCCCAGCCATCTAAGCTGGCTGCAAACACAGGGGTGGCTTTTATATATAGAAACCAAGCAGTGTGCTAATAACTACCTAGATAAGGAATAAATGATTCGCAACCAGCACTAGAAAAATGACTCCCCGCACCCCGCCGCCAGAAGCTTAAAAATTCTCTGCTGTTGTGTACGTGACGTCAGTCTGCCTACACGCATGATTTCAAATGTTCCCTGAATTAGCAGGAACACTTCATGCAGCATTCAGCTGGGGGAAGCTGGCTTCCAGAGCGCTACATTAATGATGATTCAAAGAGTTCAGAATTTAATCGCCAGGGATAAAAATAGCAGACTTCTACTTAGAACAATTCGGTAGAAAACAGGCCTTCCTCCAGGCTCTGCTGCTCGCTTTCTCCCTGGGAGGTTTTCCATTGCTTCCGGGGAGCTTTCTCCCGGGCGCAGAGGGAATTGCCAATCCAAGCAGCAGGCAGTGCCGCCTGCCCTGGCATGCTGGGAAGAGCTTAGGCCAAGTTCTCCCAAGGAAAGCCCCCTTGGGTTTAATGCCACCCGGGCTTTCCCACGAGATGCGCGACAGCATTATCAGAAGGACGAAGACACACCAGGCATTTCCCTTCTGCTCCCCATAGAGCTTGGAATGATAGAGGGAGGACCTGCCAGGCCTGCCCCATGTAACTGAGCTACCTCCTTAGCAGGTGTGCAAATTGCTTTAAGAAGGAGGTCCGTCCCCACTGCTTGAAGGTGTCCCAAAGGCCAGCCTGCCTACACGCTCAACCCCCAGGCAGCTACCAGGTCCCAGAGCAGCTGCATTGGTGTATGAGCTCGAGAAAGCACACAGGACTGAAATTTATGAAAGCTGCCAGGTGCTATATTAATTGATGGAGGGACCTATTCACATCTCACATCAGATCTGCACACTGATTTCAGTCTTGCAATTAAGGGACCTGCACACCACTCGTGGGGCCCTCGCAGCAGATGAGAAGTGCCACAGTGGCTCTGTGCGCCTGGCCGCGGACCTTGGAGGGTCCCTGCCCATGCCTCAGTCCCATGGACATCTCTGCCAGGATTGCCACCTGATGCCTGTGATGATGGGGACAGGCTGGCTCTGGCTTGAGGCTAACCGAGAGGAAAAGAATCACATTCTTCCTTATATCATCTAAAGATCTAGATAGCTTTTTTAAGTTATTTTTTATCAACACAACCATTTTTCTGTGAAAATCAGCAGCTGCAATATGACGAAGATTTTTGACTTCAGATACTGAATAAGTTGGAGAAACAGATGAACTCTTGAGAGACAGAGAAATTATTTTCATGCAGATGTCCCTCATAATATAACCAACTCCAAGGGAACAAACTCCCAGAAACTATAGAACCAATTTGATTGTTCCTAAATAAAAGTTTCTCAAAACTCTCCAGAAGATGGATCTACTCTGAGGAAGGAAATGCAAAGCACTAAGTAGGTCAAATGAGAAATGAAATACAAAGGAAAAGGTAAGAAAGGAAGAGTTTTCAGGAAGAAAGCAGGAAAGCTGATGAGCTGGAGTGGAAGAATCACGGATGTGAGTGAAAATCACTGGATTTTGAACCACAGATACAGTCTCTGCTCTCTTGCAAGGTACTCCCAGGCACATATTGGTGGCAATATGGTGCATGTTCCAGATTGTCTGGAAGAGAAGTTAATGAGACCATTTGGGAACTACATTGATCTGTTTCGGTCAGTATTGTTCAAGAAACCTGGAGGTTTCTTGGTGCATTAGTAAATCCCTGCATGGAGCAGGCAGAAGATGGAAAGCACTTAACATGAGCCTCCTCTGCCCTACAGACAATGCTATAATCCTCAGGGATTGAGATTTTCCATAGACACACTGATAGAATTGCAACAGAAAAGAAAACGAAATACCTTAAATGGCCTCCTATACCACCCTACCTCAAAATCATAGAATCATAGAATCATAGAATCATAGAATGCCGAAGGTTGGAAGGGACCTCAGAGGTCATCGAGTCCAACCCCCCTGCTCACGCAGGGTCACCTAGAGCACGTGGCACAGGGCTGCATCCAAGCGGGTTTCAAGGGCTGCTTCCAAGGGCTCTTCCAAATGCTCTTTCTCACTGCTACCAAAGTCAGAAACAGCCCCAGACCAGGGGCAGTGGGAACTCGAGCAGGTGATGGGGAGATGAGGATAGCTGGGAGGACAAGGACAAGCTTCTTGCCTTAAATGCTTGTGACACAGCAGCAGCAGGATGCTCTGGATGGCGGTGGTGGTTGCTGTTGTGCCATCAGATCTCCCCAGCTTTAGAAAGACACTGCAGAGTGCCAAGGCAGACGCTCCTCTTGCCTAAACATCCAGCTGAAACTAAGTGCTAGCCTGTTTGCGTTTGGGATGCAGGACTGAGACACGCTCTTGCAGTGGATTTGCTCAGTGTTTGGGACAGAGCAGCTCATATTGCCTGAGGGTCCTGGGACAAGTGGAAGGAGGTGGGAAAAATCAGCAGGTCTGTCCATCATTCCTCCCAGGGAACAGAGTAGAACTCAGCTGCAGCCTCCTGCATGCTCAAAGCTGCAGGAGCGCTTCCTTTGTCTCAAACTAGGTCAATGCGGAGGTGTGATGTTACTATAGCAATCGGCATTGGATTTCATAATTTTATTTTAGCAATGGGCATGTTGCAGGATTCACTACTAGACGGAGGGAGGGTTGTCACTGAAACACCCTCCTCACTCCCATTGCCCCAGCCTCCCTCGCCCTCCCTCTCTACCAGCCCTCATACCACATGCACAGAGCTGGCTCGTTTCTCCCATCCCTTCTCCCTTTAGTTGCTTCTAAAAGAGCCCCAGTTTCAGCCCTGGGTCACACTGTACCTCTGGCAGAGGTTTTAGGATGAAGCCAGATTCAGCATCCCATGCACCTTGGGTCTCTCCGGGCTCCAGAGCTGTCCCTCATGAAGACCTATCAGGCAAAACAAAAAGAGAAAATATCCTCAGTTCACAGTGACCACCATCTTCCCACCAAACATCCCTGGCCAAAACTCTGACAGTATGAAGTCACTGAGACTAATTTACAACTTGTTTCTCTACATTAAGTTCCAGCAAATGCACGGGGAAAAGGCTAGGAAGCATCCTACGAGGCAGAGGCGATAGCTGTGGGAGATACTGGGTTGCCTGCCCCTTTGCCTTGCATGTGCATTAAAAGAAAGGACTGGAGAACAGAGTTTTGAAAGGCAAGAGGGCCAGTCTGGGGGATAATGCATTTACTTGCACCCGCCAATGTTCCCTGTTCAACGTTAGCTTCAATGACCCCCACTGTAAATCTCTTCTCACCAGTTGCTAGGTGCTACTGTATTGCAGCGAAAATGTGGTGGTGTTTTCCTTATTGTCATTCACCATCAACAAGCACTGCAACCAGCTGAAAAAACAGTACCTGTATGAAAGCAAAGTAAACAAATACGGGAAAAATGCCAGTGTGTCTTGATGTCCTCTAACACACCTACGCATCACAGCAGAGAAAGCATCCTGGGTTTTCTTATCACTGACATTAAATATTATTTGGAGTTTATGTTAATTAATGTTCAAGGTAGGCTTGTGCGTGTGTTTTCTCTTCCATATTGAGAAGATGTGAGCACAGGGCTGGGACAATCTAGGCCATTCAGTCTTCCATCACTGAGAAGTAAGTGGTAACAGTGGCACAGTAACATGGAGAAATTGGCCCTTTCCATAATGGTATTTCTCTTGCATCCTAGCTGAATATATGAGAGTCTATCCAGTCTTCAGGATGCCTCCCATAGCTGAAAGGAATTATGCTGTGGAGTAGTTTGTGCAGATTAAGATGCTTGATGGAAGGGTGGAACAAGGATGCAAACCTCAACAGTTTTTCCAGGAAAGCTGGATCTGAGTGATGCATTTGATTCCCTCTTTGAAGGAGAGGAAGACCAAACCAGCACCATAGTGGTAGTAAGAAAACAGGAACTCTGTTCCCACGAAGAAGAGTTGGGTACCTCAGTGCACATGAGATCCTGCTCTCATAGAAGCACTATGTCACCCCTCGGGAGGAGACGTCTTCTCCCCAAGATAACTCATTCTTGGGGGGCTTTAAAGACATCCCAGGTACAATGTATGTTTGGATAACCCTAGAGGGACCACGTTTCCTTCCAAACATGCTCCTTACACCTGTACCAAGGAGGGAAAAACTGACTAGACAGACACTTTGCAGGAAGAAAAAGAGGGCTTGCTGATCTGGAGGCACTCAGAGATGGCATCTGGAGGCATCTACTCTTCTAGAGGCATTATCCAGAGATGATTTAGAGGCATCTACTCTTACAGATATCCCAATGGATAGAAGGATGGAAAGTCTGGGTAGAATAAAAGACTCCTAAATCCGCTACTTCTCCTAAATCCAGTAGAGAAACTCTTTTCCTTCCAACTAGTTTTATTCTCTGAACCCGAACAATACAGAAGGAAAAGCTAAAGGAAAGGAGTATGCTGTGAGAAAGGCATGTGCCCACATGGTGACACTAGGTATGTTGGCTGTGAATGCTGCAGAGATTCATGCAGCAGCAATCTCTCTGACATCCCCCCAAATTTTCACATCTGTCCCCATATGACAATTGATTCCCAATTGCTAGTGACTTGATTTAGGACCGAGACAGCAACCTAGACAAGTACAGCCTTCAGTGTTCCTGTATCCCTGGCTAGCAGTGTCCGAGCATCCCTGGCTAGTACTTGCCACAGCCATCCAGTATCAGCATCAGTGCGACTAGAACTCACCAGCAAAACTATTGCCACCAGCACTGTGATGAAAGGGGAACAGTATACGCCACTAGAGTCCACCAGAAAAGTGATCAGCATCTGCTTGCAATGCTCTCAGCATTCCTCACGGGAGCACAAGTATCCACTGTCAATGTCCAGCATCCTTCATCACCTCTAAGAGCTGCTGGTGCTGGAAGGATCTGCTCCCAGTACCACCATCACCTCATTGTGTGTGACCAGCACATGCAGAGTATCCCAGGGACCCCTCTAGGAATGCTGTGCTGGGACTCCTCAGCACAATGTGGCTCTGATGACAGGATGGGCAATGCCTGGCCTTCAGATTTCTACTCACCTTGAGGCTTTCTGAAAATAAAAGATGCCATTGAGACTCTGGAGGAAGGAATCCTTTTGTCTGTACTACTGCTTCTGTCTTTGCATGCTTCAGTTGCACCAGGAAAGCTGTGCTATAATTATCCTTAATTAATGCCCATGAAATACGGTGCATTGGGGCCTCAATGCCCCGATGAAATACAAATGAACAATTGCACCACCATCACAATTGCATCATGTTAACTACCAGCAATCCACCTCATCCCCCTCTTTCTCCCAGTCTCAAAGGGTGTCATGCCTGCTGCGTGGAGGTGATAGTATTGAAAGGGATGTATGGAAGGACGTACTGCTGCAAGAAGCAGTGTAACCTCAGACAAGTAGATACTGGGCTGAGAGAGGGCAGACTGTCCTGAATTGTAGACAATGAAGATGCTGGGTGCTGCCATGGGGCTGCACAGGGTGGTCTGTCTCTGTAAGCTTCTGTGCTCTTGTTTGCTCAAGCCTGTCCCAAGAAAATAGAAGTAAGCATCCAAGTGAACTTATCTAGAAGCTGTGGCATGTAAGAAAAAGCTGTGACCCTGGGAGGGAAGGTCCTGGGAGCTCAATATAGAAAGAGAAAAACAGCTTCAGCACACATGTTGTCAGAAATGAATGAAGAACACAGCCAAATTTCCACTGATGGCAAGTGCTATTGAAAATGCAGTGTTCCCTTCTCCCTGTTAACATCCATAACTTTAGTTCCCTCTAATGCTTAGATTTATACACTGAGAGCTCAGGTATAGTGATTATAAGCCTCTGTGCTGCTCTACTTCCCAAACCAGGCCACATCTCACTGTATACTTCCAGTCACAGAAATAATGAAAATCAATATATGTGTATTCCTGTACCTCTAATCCCCATAACCGTTTCTCTGGATAAAGCAAATAGATTGAGCTGCTTCATATCTCCGAGCAAGAATTAAATTTTGTATGAAGGGTTGTTGGGGTCTGATCTGAGAGTTATCACTGCTTCAATTTCACGAAAGGAAAAAGAAAAAGAGACTGCGGAGGGCACATCTATTCATAAGTGGAGAGATTTGTAGTCAATATTAAGATTAGTCTGAAAGAAGTATGAATGAAAATGTCTGCGTGTAGAAACACCAGAGGAAACAGTAGAGCAAGGGCTGCGAGGCTGGTGAGCAGGGCTAGGCAAGGATGTGATGGACAGCAATCGGGCTGGCAGGCAGCGAGGGAGGTGTTCCTTCTCCGCACCGAGGCCAGAGCGGAGCCCTGCCAGGGCCCCAGCACAAACTCATCAGCAGAAGAGCTGTATTCAGGTCATGACCGAACAAGGGAACAAGGATACGGAACACTGCATCTGTTATTCCTCTTTCTGCTCTCCCAAAAGAAAGATACCCTGAACAAGAACAAAACAACAACAAAAGCTCACTAAAAACCTTGCCTAAGATTATGAAAGTTGAAGTAAGCAAGATGCTGAGGCAAAAGGTCACAGAATCACAGAATCACAGAATCACAGAATATTTAAGGTTGGAAGGGACCTCTAGAGATCATCTAGTCCAACCTTCCTGCTCCAGCAGGCACACCTACAGCATGTGGCACAGGGTGGCATCCAGGCAGGTCTTGAAGACCTCCAGAGTAGGAGACTCCACAACCTCCCTGAGCAGCCTGTTCCACTGCTCTGGCACCCTCACAGTGAAGAAGTTCCTCCTCACCTGGAGACGGAACTTCCTGTGCTCCAGCTTATGGCCATTACCCCTTGTCCTATCGCTGGTCCTCCCACAGTAACCGCTGACTCCTGTGGGGTATAGAATACCTATCAAAAAATAAATATATCTTGGTCAGTCAGGAGAAATTCCAGAAATGTAGGGGAGTCTCATCATCAGTGATTCTCCTCTCCTCTCCTCTCCTCTCCTCTCCCACATCTCATCATGCCACTTGGACACATGTCTTGGAGCTTATGATTATGTAAGTGAGAAAAAACAGGAGAGAATGTGCTTGACTGAAAAAAAGAGTTTCACTGAAAAAATATCACCCTCCCTTCCAGTAAAGTCCTTCATTTAATTTGGTTTCATTAAGTTACTAAATAAGCACCTGAGGCAGATAACTAGGGTCTGATCTGCATGGCTAGAGATAAGCATGGGAAGGCTGGCAGTACCACAGAGAAGAGGCCAGGGCAGAACCTCTTGCACTGAACCTGGATGTTACCAGGTTCTTTGCATGGAGATCTGAGGTTCCTAGTGGAGGTTCGGGAGACAAAGCAGAACTGAGGTCTCCTCAGTGCATGCCCACAATCAAGCCCACAAGAACATCCATCAAGGAAGAGGGATGCTCTTGCTGAGGGTTTCTACTGAACAGCGAGGTGGTTCCTTCCCTTTCTGGAGCGCAGACACACTACGTGCCCACAAGATTTGGCAACCCACAACCAGCAGGAGAGAATTCCCTCTGTGATGGTGCACACCCACACTGGCAATGCACCTCACACAATACAGCTGCTGGGACAGGACAGGGAGTGCAACAGTGCGCTAACCGGGCAGCCCATGCTACCAGCCATCCTCGAAAGCCTTCATTCCTCTGCAGAAAGCAAGCTGCTGCAGTGGGGCCTGGCTGGCAGACCTGCCATGATGCAGCAGTCCAGAGGGAGATGCTGTTCCTGGGGAAAGGTCTGGCTCTGATGGGTAGGGAGCAAGGAGAGTGCAGGACAGATACAATGCCCTGAAGGGTAGGAAGCAATGAAAGAGAATGGCAAGTAGGGAGGATTGAGTAGCTTTCATTTAATGTGACATCAAGATTTTGAGAATAAGATTGTTCCAGACAGCAAGGGACTTGAAGAGAAGAAATTCTTTAATTGCCTTAACATTGACACCAGGGAGCCTGG